CGAGTTTTCCTTTAGGAAACAGAAGATGCTTTTCATTTGGTGACACAAATTGACACAAGTTTCGTTCTGTCATTGGTTGCTTTCCTTTTAGAAGGGCACAGATGCTTTCTACTTATATTTGTTTTTAACTAAATAACCTGGTTCAACTTATTCTTTATCTTTTTCTAATTCTTACAACTAGAAAAAGATAAAGAATAATTTTTTTAGAATAAGAAAGTGGAATCGAAATTAAAATTAATCTATATTGGTGAAAATAAGAATTAGTGATACAAATTGACACAAGCATTATATCTTGACATTCAGTGACTTATAAGGTAGAATGTATTTACTTCTGTCATCAAACAGAAAACATACACCTATAGTCAACACAAACGTTGACATTCATTAACTGTGTTTAATAGCCTGTTTATTTTACAATTGTTGGAAGTTTCCTTTATTCTGATTAAATTATACTTTTAGATTAGAAGAATAATCCTATCTCAGCAAAGAAAACTTTCAACAGTTGCAATATATAAACATTTTACTGAACATAGATAAATAACAAAAATAGATTTAATATTAATATTTATCCCCTAAAAAGGAAAACAGCCTTTATCATTCACTAAAATATCAAGAAAAAAAAGATGTTTGTATCGATTTGTGTTATTAAATGGAAAGCATCAGAGAAAAGATGAACCATGCAAGAAGTTTCAGCTGAAAAGAACAAGATCTTTTATGGTTGAACATTGGAGAAAAAAAATGAAAAACAGAAAAGGAAAGAAACTTTTTAGGTCTGCTTTCTTTGCAGCTGAACTTTTCTTTCTTTCGTCACTTTGGCAATTATTCTAACCCAAAATCATAAATTTTAGATATGTATGCGATTCTCTTTGGAAGCAGGCTATATATCACTCATTGACCACGAAAATAGCCCTGATATTCAGCGATAACATAGTTGTTCGGTTAGAAGATACTAATAAAAACACTATACGAAGCCGCTTCTTACGTTTCCTTCAGGATAATTATATATGTTGGTATTTTTTATTTTTAATCTCTTATTCTATATTTTATATTATACTATATTGATATTGTCCTTTTAGCTAAGGAAAAAGATAGAGCAGAGGATAAAAGAACATTTGCCAATAAAGTTTTACTTCATGCAGAAGTTTATTATCACATGAAATTTAGCGACGGAAGTAGATTGAAAATATTGGCTGAGCCGTTAATTAAATATTTGGAAGATCTGTTGCAAGACAATCCTAAAGATAATATTTATTTCATCATGATACAGGTAAGAATAAAAACAAGGTATTGAATGTATGCGAAATGACATATACGAATAAGAATCAAATAATGAAGATCATTTATTTATAAAAGCGTGATATTGTGTTTAATAAGAAATCTCTTTTTTTTAGATACTTAGAACTGGTAAAGATCTTTATGCAGCGTGTCCAGGTGGATTAGAGAGCTTAATAATGACAATCAGGCAATTGCTGGTAAAGGAAAATTTACATAGTCCCGAGAACAATGCGGCACTATTATTAATCATAGAGTTAGCTAATAACGACTATGAAATTAAGGACACGCGATTGAAACATTTTTATTTCTCAAATATCAAGTCTCTCTCTTTTGAACCTCCGTTTTCTCGTGAAGAATTAAAGGTTATCTTAACGACAAAGACTGAAAATGGTAACATGATTTAAATTATTAATCGTTAAATAAAAATATATAAATGTATTATGTGAATAATATTACCGTTATTATCATAAATCGACAATTTTTTGGTGTTCTAGATAATCAATTGCGGGAAGTTGAGAATAATCAACGAATTGTAAGAGAAGAAGTGAAAAATGACATACCTGAGCATGGCAATTATTCAAAAAATTCTAGCGGTCCAAGAGCGATACGTGGTTCAGGTGCACTGGATAAATCAAAAAAAGGAATTAATATTAATGCAAAATCAAATTCATTGAGGACAACTCCACCGAGGGAAAGGAATAAGGGTTGGGGTCATGATGATAGGTTTCATGAACATTATGAATAAATATCTACCTTGTACAAGGTAAATATTCATTATAATTTTAATATAGCTTTAATATAACAAAATTGACTTGTATTTTGATTAAATGTTTACAGGTACTTACTTGTATGCAATAATGACAGTTATAAAATTCTTTCTATTGTATTTATCAAATTGGCACAGGAAATAAATACAGCTATGGAAAAGGTTTTTTATAAAACGATCATAGATATATATACACACACGACATATATATATTGTCGTGATTGCAATCAAAGCGCAAGGAAAATGTACTGGATCTTTTTCTTCGACAGAAAAATAAGAAAGTAGTCCTATTTTGTCTTATTTTAGCATCAAAAAATTACAGGAGTGTATGCTGTAACATGATGTACTGTTATTATGTGCTTTTATCTTGTACTCAGATAAAATTTCCGAAAGAAACGTATTTTATGTAAGATCATTCTTATGAAAGCATCACAAAATACAAATTTTAATAAGCAGTTTATTTATGGACATACATGTCATTTAGACATTCAACAATCTTGTCTCATAATTTACAAAACAATATCGAGAGTATACAGAGCACGTAAAAGTCAAATATAACAAAAAATTTTTAAAAGTTTAAACGACTCTTATATGCCCTATATACTCTTGATATTGTTTTTTAAGAGCCCTTCGTTCTTGTAAAAACCTCATAATTTACCTAAAATAGGATTATTGTATAGAATGAAATATTTTTTACTTCATATTTAATGATTTTGGTATTATGAAATTTTACAAACATGTACATAATTTTATTTTTTTTCCATCAAATTGTAAAAAAAATACAATATAATTCTATGTACTACATATGCAAATAAAGTAAATTTATCCTATGATTCCATAACTCAAGTCAGACCTCCCTCAATAAGGGGAGTTTCCATACAAATACAAAAGATAATAAAGCTTTATTTATAGAAGTGTGATGCTACGATTATTAAGAAATTTTGGTTTTAGATGCCCAGATCTGGTAAAGATTTTTATGCAGTCTAAGGGACCTTGACAATAATAATTATACAACTGCTGGTCAAGGAAAAACTTATTCAAACAATCCTAAAAATTGACTAGCTTATTGTTAGTTATTGAGAATTGGCTAACTATGAAATTATAATCGGAAATGAGTTACCATCATTGTGCAACTATCCATTATTGAACCATTGTTTATTGTCCAACCCTAATCTTGAAGAGTCAGAGATTGCTTTACGCAAATTATAAAATTTGTATGTAGGATGAGAGATCGAATCCAAGAGCTGTCAATTATAACTCAGCTATTTTTATGTGAAGTCACATAACATCCTAAGTAAATTGCAATTCTATCACTATCTATTCGAAATTTCTGCCTAAACTCATTCAGATTTTATGATTATTCTTTGTAATATTTTAGATTCGTCATTCGCAACTGCACTATGTTATATCTATAGCTATATTTTTTTTTTGGCATTTCGGTGTATAATTGTGTGTGTGTGTGTGTGTGTGTGTGTCATTGAAAGAAAAAAAAATGAACACTACAAAAGATTCAATTATAAAGAGTAAATCTCTAAAGAATATTTTAAATTTATCACAGTGTGTTATACTTTTTGCATTTAAAATGAGAAATAGATTATAATTGGGCGAAGAAAGAGGCCTGTTCTTTTTAGTTGAACTTTTGCACCAGTTCATCTTTTTTTCTTTTCTCTTCAGGAGGAAAGAAAAGGAAGAAAAATAAACTGGTGCAAAAATTTAGCTAAAAAGAACAGGCCTATTGACAGAAGATAAAAAAGTACAAAAGATTCAGCTGCACGCAAACTATATTCATAAATCTACATGTATATAAAAATCTATAATATACATAACGTCCCTGATAAAAATTTTTCTTAGAATTTTTTATATATGTGAATATATTCTAAGATTTCTTGATCTGTGTGTACTCTCCAAAAAAATATGTCGAACTTTTTTTAGACTGTATAAGATTTTATCAAAATGGAATGAAAAATCTTTAAAATCTTAGGTATTTCAGAGAGAATTCATATGAAAAAAAGATTCTAGAAAAATCATAGATTTTCTCGACATTTTTGAAAAGTGTTCCAATTTGCATTTAAAAATTAAATTTTTTAGAA